TATCAGGAGGAGAGTGGTGGAGCACCTGGAACGAAACACGGTTATAAACAACAACCAGCACGGATTCATGGAAGGCAAATCCTATGTCACAAACCTTCTGGAGTTTTATGACAAGGCAACAGAAGTAAGAAACGAGAGAGAGGTGCGGGTTGATTGCATTTTCCTGGACTGCAGGAAGGCCTTCGATGCAGTTCCTCACAGGAGATTAGTGCAGAAGCTGAAGGATCAGGCACGTATAACAGGAAGGGCACTGCAGTGGATCAGAGAATACCTGATAGGGAGGCAACAACGGGTCATGGTACGTGATGAGGTATCACAGTGGGCTCCTGTGACGAGAGGGGTACCACAGGGGTCAATTCTAAGACCAGTGCTATTTTTGATATATGTGAATGACATGGTGGAAGGGATAGACTCTGAAGTGTCCCTGTTCGCAGATGATGTGAAGCTAATGAGAAGGATTAAGTTGGATGAAGATCAAGCAGGACTACAAAGAGACCTGGATAGGCTGGACACGTGGTCCAGCAACTGGCTTCTCAATTTCAACCCTGCCAAATGGAAAGTCATGAAGATTGGGGAAGGGCATAGAAGACCGCAGACAGAGTATAGGCTAGGTGGACAAAGGTTGCAAACCTCACTCAAAGAGAAAGATCTTGGGGTGACCATAACACCGAGCACGTCTCCGGAGACACACATCAACCAGATAACGGCTGAAGCATATGGGCACCTGGCAAACCTGAGAATAGCGTTCCGATACCTTAGTAAGGAATCGTTCGAGGCACTGTACACTGTGTACGTCAGGCCCATACTGGAGTATGCAGCACCAGTTTGGAACCCACACCTGGTCAAGCACGTCAAGAAATTAGAGAAAGTACAAAGGTTTGCAACAAGACTAGTTCCGAAGCTCAGGTGAATGTCCTATGAAGAAAGGTTGAGGGAAATTGGACTGACGACACTGGAGGACAGGAGGGTCAGGGGAGACATGATAACAACATACAAAATAATGCGTGGAATAGACAAGGTGGACAGAGACAGGATGTTCCAGAGAGGGAACACACAAACAAGGGGTCACAATTGGAAGCTGAAGACTCAGACGAGTCACAGGGATGTTAGGAAGTATTTCTTCAGTCATAGAGTAAACAGAAAGTGGAATAGCCTAGCAATGATGTAGCGGAGGCAGGAACCATACATAGCTTTAAGATGAGGTATGACAAAGCTCAGGAAGCAGAGAGAGAGAGGATCTAGTAGCGATCAGTGAAGAGGCGGGGCCAGGAGCTGAGTCTTGACCCCTGCAACCACAATTAGGTGAATTAGGTGAGTGTGCACATGCGTGCGCACACACACACACACACACACACACAAAAGGTGGACAGAGACAGGATGTTCCAGAGATGGGACACAGCAACGAGGGGTCACAGTTGGAAGCTGAAGACTCAGATGAACCACAGGGATGTTAGGAGTTGTCAGGAAGTGGAATAGCCTGGGTAGTGATGTAGTGGAGGCAGGATCCATACATAGCTTTAAGAAGAGGTATGATAAAGCTCGTGGAGCAGGAAGAGTGACCGGGTAGCAGCCAGGTGAAGAGGCGGGGCCAGGAGCTGTGACTGGACATCTGCAATCACAACTAGGTCAGTACAACTAGGTGAGTACACACACACACACACACACACACACACACACACACACACACACACGAGGGTCCATGAGCTGTGAATTGACCACTGCAACCACATATATAGGTGAGTACTCACTAACATACACTGGTATATCAGAATTTCCTCGATAATATACTTTAGTATTTTTTGAATTCCTGGCTTGTATATAATTAAAGTAATTATCAAAAAAATTCTTTAGTTGTATTAGAAGGCATTCTAGGAACTTTTGTTTTATTAACACATTAGCTATTTCCCTCCAAGGCAGGGTGACCCAAAACCGAAAGACACTTTAATCATCACTCACTCCATCGCTGTCTTGCCAGAGGCGTGCTGATACTACAGTTAGCAAAAACTGCAATATATCTACACTGCTTCTTCAGAGCATAGGCACTATACTTCCCACCTCCAGGACTCAAATCCAGCAGACTGGTTTCTCAGAATGCCTTCATAAATGTTACTTTGCTCACACTCCATCAGCACATCAAGTAATAAAAAGCACTTGCCTCCACTCACTCCTATCTAACATGCTCACGCACACTTGCTGAAAGTCAAAGTCCCTTGCACAAAACCTCCTTTACCCCCTCCCTCCAACCTTTCCTAGGATAACCCCTCCCCCGCCTTCCTTCCACTACAGCTTTATACACCCTCCAAGTCATTCTGTTTCGTTCCAACCTCTCTAAATGTCCAGACCATCTCGACAAACCCTTTTCAGCCCTCTGGATAACACTTTTTAGAAACCCCCTCACCTCCTGATCTCCAGGCTATGGATTCTCTGCATAATATTCGCACCACACACATTTCCCTCAAACACATCTCCACTGCCTCCGGCCTTCTTGTTGCAAAATTCACCATCCATGCTTCAAACCCATATAAGAGCATTGGTACCATTATACTCTCATACATTTCCCTCTTTGCTTCCATGTATAACATTCTTTGCCTCACCAATTCTGTGGTTACCCTCATCTTTCATTGGCTCATCTGCTGACAAATCCACTCCCAAATATCTTAAAATGTTCACTTCCTCTATACTCCCTTCCTTCAGTCTGATATCCAATCTTTCATTACCTAATTTTTTGTTATTCTCATCACCTTGCTCTCTATACTCCCTCCCTTCAATATGATATCCAATCTTTCATTACCCAATTTTTTTTATCCTCATCACCTTGCTCTTTCGTATGCTCACCTTTAATTTCCATTTATTACATATCCTCCCAAATTCGCCCACCAACTTCTGCAGCTTCTCTTCAGAATCTCCCAAAAGCACAGTATCATCAGCAAAAAGCAACTGTGACAACTTCCACCTTGTGTTAGATTCTTTTTCTTTAACCCTTTCAATGAAATGATAGAGAATATTTTCCCAATCATAATAACACCAAAAGTATGAAATTTGATGGAAAACTTACGGAATTATGCTCTTGCGAAGTTAGTGGTCTTGACGATGTTTACGCATCGGCGATTGCGTCCACTTTGAGCCCTATTTTCGGCCAATTCCTGTGTACTAATCGACAAAAATCATATTTATTTCGCTAGAACTCCATTTTTTCTATTGAATGAGTACAAGAAACCACCCATTTACCAATTTCAACTATCCAATAAAGTGGTTAGAAATTGGCAATTTTGCCAGTTTCACACAAATTTCAGAAGATGCCAATTTCCAAATAGGGTCCAGAATAAATAAGACAGACATTCCTGGCACTAAAATAACAAGTTCTCTGTTCATTAGTCACGTCCCCAGGCCCCTCTTACATTTCTTTTGCTTTCCACTTTGAATTTTTATTTTCACAAAAAATAAAAGATTTACTGTTATGCAGACTACTGCATTAGTATAGAAATGGTATAAATAATATCAGCGCAATTGTGAAAGAATATTAGACTCACCAGTTGACGTGTATTGGACGCTGGCATGAATTGTTTACTTTTGAACTTTGGTAAAAATCGAACATTTCTGCTACTTTGAGCTCAATTTCAAGGTACTTCTCATTGTGAAACCAATAAAGATCATCTCACTTTCTGTAATATGTCTTCCATTCTATAAATTGAGACCAGGAAAACTAGAATACAACCATAAATAGCATACGAAAATACAGTGCAAAGTCGCTGTTTTAATCCAAAAACACTGTAAAAGTTTTTTTTTTTTCTCATTACGCTGTGTGCTGCAGGATTTTTTTTAACTGCGCACACTGACCACATAGACCCATTCTTTCATATGTAGGCCTACCAGCTTTCTCTCGCTAGATTTGAAGGCGCTAGAATTTAGGTGTTCTAGTACGTCAGTAACCCTGGTGCATAAGCCGTATTAGTATGTCGGAAACCCTGAAAGGGTTAAATCCCATATCTCTTCCCAACACCCGAGCATTCAATTTTCTTACAACTACATCTATAAACATATTGAACAACCATTCCTGTCTAAGGCCTACTTTTGCTGGGAAATAATCTCCCTCTCTCCTACATACTCTAACCTGAGCCTCACTATCCTTGTAAAAATTCTTAATCTCTTCTAGTAACCAGCTACCTATTTATACACTTGCAACACCTGTCACATTGCTCCCCTATCCACCCAATCATATGACTTTTCCAAAATCATTAATTCAATAAAACCTCTTTACCCTTATCTACATACTGTTCACTGACATGCTTCACTGTAAATACTTGATCTACACATCTCCTTCCCTTCCTAAAAGCATCCTTGTTCATCTGTGATCCTGCTCTGTCTTACTTTTAACTCTTTCAGTAATAACTCTACCATACATCTTACCAGGTATACTCAACAGGCTTACTTCCCTATAATTCTTACACTCTCTTTTGTCCCCTATGCTTTTATACAAAGGAACTATTCATGCTTTCTGCCAATTTCTAGGTACCTTCCCCCTGCTTATACATTTATTAAATAAATGCACCAACCATTTCAAAACTATATTCCCACCTGTTTTTAACATTTCTATCTTGATCTCATCAATCCCAGCTGTTTTACCCTCTTTCATTCTACCCACAGCCTCATGCACCTTCCCCACACTCGCATCTGGCTCTTCCTCACTCCTACAAGATGTTATACCTTCCTTCCCATTGCATGAAATTACATCTTCCCTATCTTCAATATTTAATAGTACCTCAAAACATTCCCCCCATCTTCCCAATACTTCCAACTCTCCATCTAATAACCCTCCTCTTCTATTTTTAACTGCCAAACCCATTCTTTTCCCTAGGCTTTCTCAACTTATTATTTCATCTACTCTCTCATTTGCTCTCCTTTTGTATTCTAGGAAACCTTAATTAATTTTTAAATTTTACATAGTATTTTTTATCTCTAGTTTATATACTTTTAAGTTAAATAAAGCTTTCTTCCTCTAGGGAGATATATGCCGAGTTGTCCGGCATTTTCACTTCACAACCTGGCCAGATTTTGGTGTACCAGAACCACCACAAACTCTAGTAAGATTTCGTTCGATCGTTTCGAGAGCGAGTTGGCCCAGATCAAAAACCCATTGTTGTGCATTGCAGGTAAGAGATGTTGTACTTTAATCATATAATCAATGTAAAATGATGTGAGCCAAGTCTTTATGAATACTGTATATACCTTCACTGAAAATGCAAAATGATTTAAATAAAAGTAGGTGTTGTATAGTATTATACATAAGGAGCTAGTGTTCTGTTTCTTATGAACTTACTTTCTATTATTGTGTCTTGTAATATGCATGGATTAAATACCTGTACTGTAATTTCAGTGCTGGTGTTGGTCGATCTGGGACTTTCATTGCCTTGGACCGTATTTTATTCAGCCTCCGCACATGTGACTATGTGGATATATTTGGCATTGTGTATGAAATGCGAAGAGAGCGGGTATGGATGGTACAAACTGAACAGCAGTATATATGCATTCATCAGTGTCTTTTAGCTGTGCTAGAAGGAAGAGAAAATGAACATTCTGTAACTGAAATTCATGATAATCAAGGATTCGAAGGTGAGTGTTTTGGTTTAAAAATAAATAATTCACAATTTTTTTTTTGTTATGCAAAAAAATATTAAAAAATTATGATTAGCTGTTACATAGAACTCTTTAATAAGGATTTATTATTTAATTAATGCAGAATATACTTAATTATTAATATTTTTTATAAAAAATAATGGGTGGTTGGGTGTTTATGAGTCCATTCTCTCATCTGCAAATCTGTTCCTTGCACTAGAATAGGGCTCAATGGAATGGTGATGTGTGGGGTTGCAACAAAGCTAAGATGATACTCTTTCCTTCTGCTGCTGACACACCTGGGTATTTGGCATGCCATGTGACTTAATGTTTTCTTAATTAACAGATCCCTCCTTGACAATAGATAGTCATCACATTTAAAACAATTGCAGTTTACTTAGTAAGTCCATAATTTGGTCTCCAGTTACCTTATGGCTTATGCTTGCATAATAATAACAATAATAATAATAATACTTCTAGGTAGTAGATTGGTAGACAGCAACTGCCCAGGGAGGTACTACCGTCCTGCCAAGTGAGTGTAAAACGGAAGCCTGTAATTGTTTTACATGATGGTAGGATTGCTGGTGTCTTTTTTCTTTTCTGTCTCATACACATGCAAGATTTCAGGTACATCTTGCTACTTCTACTTACACTTAGATCACATTACACATACATGTACACGCGTATATATACACACCCCTCTGGGTTTTCTTCTATTTTCTTTCTAGTTCTTGTTCTTGTTTATTTCCTCTTACCTCCATGGGGAAGTGGAACAGAATTCTTCCTCCTTAAGCCATGCGTGTTGTAAGAGGCAACTAAAATGCCAGGAGCAAGGGGCTAGTAACCCCTTCTCCTGTATACAGTGGACCCCCGGTTAACGATATTTTTTCACTCCAGAAGTATGTTCAGGTGCCAGTACTGACCGAATTTGTTCACATAAGAAATATTGTGAAGTAGATTAGTCCATTTCAGACCCCCAAACATACACGTACAAACGCACTTACATAAATACACTTACATAATTGGTCGCATTCGGAGGTAATCGTTATGCGGGGGTCCACTGTATATTACTAAATGTAAAAGGAGAAACTTTCGTTTTTCCTTTTGGGCCACCCCGCCTCGGTGGGATACGGCCAGTGTGTTGAAAGAATAATAATAATTAATAATAACAAAAGAGGAGCAACAGAAATGTCAGAGCATTATGTAGTGGAAGCTGCATTAAGAGTAGGAGGTAGATGGAGTACAACATATCTGGCATCAGGAGTCAAGAGAGAAATGAAAACAAATGAATTAAGAAGGAAAGCAGACAGTTTCAAAAGATATAAGCAACTATTAGTGGAAAGGTAGGCTAGAGAAATTCAGGAAATGGTTCAGCAAACCTTACACAGAAAGTAGCTTTTCATGTTTCAAATGTTGTATTTTATGTATGGGCTCTGATTAACTACTAGGAATCTTACCAGTAGTGTTTTTATGTTGCAGGCAGCTGCTATTTACAGCTGCCTGCAGAATACTTTTGTCATCTATTAAACTCACTCTCAGCATTAATAAGACCTACATACTGCTGAGAATAAAGCTATAAATATTCGGGTGAATATAACAATAAATGATACATATGCAGAAAGATTAAATGAGGGGAAAATTCTTAGGTATACACCTGGACAGTAACCTAAGATTCATCTCACATCCATTACACATGCATGTAAGAAAATTTCCCAACTGTAGGTATTTTTTTCAGAAATACACTACTGTGTATCACAAATAACATTACTCACTCTATTCTGCTCTCTAATCTATTCCTAATTCATTTATTGTATCTGTGCATGGGTATCTTTGGCAACAATCACCCCATTATTCAAAAGATTAATCTTGCTTAATGTACAAAATATACACACTTTTTGCAGTGTGTACTGTTTACAGGATGCTCTATTAAAACATTAACTCTGTGTTTAAATTATATCTGGAGAGTTGCAGCATGGACACAATTCATGGGCACAATACAAGAAACAAGTATCTCTTTAAAAATTCCATGACTCAACCTGTTCAAAAATGTCATGCAGATAAGAGGCCCTAAATTTTGGAAATCACTACCTGACAAAGCCTCAAGTTCGTCATCTGCCAACATCTTCACTAATATTGTTAAAAAGCACCTGTTAAATCTCACATAAATGTTATATCCATTAATTGTCTGTAAATTCTTATGCTGTAGTTTCAACACTTTATTAAACCACTGCATAAGCTGCAGGGCATTGAAGTGATGCAATTCCATTGTAATTTATTTGTAATGGACCAGTTCTTCATTTGCCAACTGTCTCATTATACAGGTCGGCCATTACTAATCCAGCAGTCAGTAATCCAGTTCCATTAGTAATCTGGCACTAATTTCAGCTAGTATAATTTCAAATTTCCAGGGTCACCACACTAACCAGCTGCTACTGTTTGGTGGCGCTACTTGCTGCATAAGTCATTCCAGTTTTTTTTTTTTATTTTTTGTTATAACCTGCTCACTTTTAGCCCTAGCCATGGTTCCAACAAATAAAAGAAATGCTTCTCATCACATACACAGTACATTGTCCTTAACCCTTTGACTGTTTCGGTCGTATATATACGTCTTACGAGGTACCGTGTGTGCGAATATATACAGTGGTCCCTCAATAATCGTCCATAATCCATTCCAGGAAGTGGGACTATTATCGAAATGGACGATTTACGAATCAATTTTCCCCATAAGAAATAATGTAAATTCAATTAATCCGTTCCTGACACCCAGAAGTATTAAAACAAAAATTTTTTTTACATGAAATATTCATGTAGTACATAAACATTACAATGGGAAATGATGAATGAAACATTAACAGCATAACACTTACCTTTATTGGAGATTCTTCTTAGTGTATGGGAGACTGGAGGAGGAGAGAGAGTGGATTGTTTATAGTTTGGAAGGGGAATCCCCTTCCATCAACACCTCTGGTACCAATTGCTTTTCTGGGGTTACTTCTCTTCTTCTCTGTTTCTTAATGCCACTAGGATCACCTTGAGAATCACTGGAGTCCTGTCTCGCAAAAAAACTGTCCAGAGAGCCCTGTTTCTGGCATCTCTTTAAAACTTCCCTAAAATGGGCCAAGACTCTATCACTGTACAAGTTGTCGATATGGCTTGCAACTTCCTTCTCTGGGTGATGTTTCTCCATAAATCTTTCCATCTACCCCACATTTCAAAAATCTCCTTAATTTCTGAAGAAGGCACCTTCCTCCATCTCTCTTCCTCCTCCTCTGCAGCAAGATTCTGAGCTGCGATCTGTTGCTGTTCCTGCTGAAGCTCTTGCAGCTCCTCAGTGGTTAGCTCTTCGTTGTGGTCCTCCACCAACTCTTCCACATCCTCCAAACTCACATCCAACCCCATAAAACTCCCCAGTGCCACAATGGATTTAACAACTGACAGGCTCATCAGGGTCAGCCCCAAACCCTTCAAAATCCCTCTTGTGGACACAATCTGGCCACAATTTTCTCCAAGCAGAGTTCAAAGTCCTGGTAGTCACTCCCTCCCAAGCCTTACCTATAAGGCTTACGCAGTGGAGAATACTGAAATGCTCTTTCCAAAAATCTCGTAGGGTCAAGTGAGTGTCTGAGGTCACATTCAAGCACCTTTCAAACATTGCTTTGGTGCAGAGTTTTTTAAAGTTTGCAATGACCTGCTGGTCCATGGGCTGGAGGAGAGGAGTGGTATTTGGGGGCAAGAACTTTACTGTGATGAACCCAAACTCCTTCAGAATTAGGTCATCCAAGTTTGGAGGATGAGCAGGTGCATTGTCCATTACTAGGAGGCACTTGAGATCCAATTTCTTTTCCAGGAGGTAATTCTTCACACTAGGGCCAAACACTTCATTGAACCACTCTACAAAAATTTCCCTCGTGACCCATGCCTTACTATTAGATTTCCAAAACACACACAATTTACTCTTCATAACATTGTTTTTCTTGAACACTCTGGGATTTTCAGAATGGTACACTAGTAATGGCTTCACTTTGAAATCCCCACTAGCATTAGCATAGAACATTAGCGTCAGCCTGTCTTTCATAGGCTTGTGTCCTGACAGCACCTTTTCTTCCTGAGTAATGTAGGTCCTCTTTGGCATTTTCTTCCAAAAGAGGCCTGTTTCATCACAATTGAACACTTGTTCAGGTTTCAGTCCTTCACTGTTTATGTACTCCTTGAATTCATGCACATATTTTTCAGCCGCCTTGTGGTCCGAACTGGCAGCCTCACCATGCCTTACCACACTGTGTATGCCAGTACGCTTCTTAAATCTCTCAAACCAGCCTTTGCTGGCCTTAAATTCACTCGCATCATCACTAGTTGCAGGCAATTTCTTTACCAAATCGTCATGCAACTGCCTAGCCTTTTCACAAATAAGCGACGTCATAAGACTATCTCCTGCTAATTGTTTCTAATTTATCCACACCAATAACAACTTCTCAACATCTTCGAGTACTGGTGATCTCATTTTTGTCAGCATATTTACCCCTTTGCAACAACAGCGTCCTTGATTTCCTTTTTCTTGGCTATGATGGAAGATATGGTTGTACGGGATTTGTTATACATCCTGGCCAGTTTGCCCACACGTACGCCACTATCATATTGTTCAATGATGTTTTTCTTAAATTCAATCGTATTTCTCACCTTCTTTACCAAAGGCTTGGCACTAGAAGCTTTCTTTGGAGCCATGGTAGCTTATTTAGCACTTAAATAACTTGCAAGCACTAAAATAAATGAAATATTATGAAATATTTCGCTGGAGCACGTGAGGGGACCGTCGCTCATTGGTAAACAATGGCACACTGGCTGGGAAGGAAAGGCCGAGGTGGCTCAGACCGTGAGTACACGTCCGGGACGAAGGACTATTAGCGAGTTACCGGACCATTTCCGAGCCAATATTTCGACGAAAAAACAGGACTGTTTCCGAAATGGACGACTTTCAGGCCGGACGATTATTGAGGGAC